GTGTGTGTGTGTGTGTGTGTGTTTGTGTGTCTAGCGTCACACAGTAGTTAAGCAGAGGCTTTGCGTTGTTAAGCTGTTCACAGGCATCACCTCGCCCTCTCTTACAGATCCATTACCTTATGATCCTTTCTGCAAACTGGGCTTACCTAAAGGACGCCAGTCACTTGCATGCATACCAAGACATCAAAATGAAGGAGGAGTGGGAGCTGCAGGACATCCAGTCGCGCTCCAAAGAATGCCTCAACTCCTACTCGTAAGGAGGGTTAACACTGCCAACCAACCAACCACTAACCAGCCCTAACTCACTAACCGCTCAACTAACCCGCAGTCTGTGCCGATCCCTCCTGCGCTCTCTTCGAAGCCCTTTGTGAACCAGCACTGGCCGGTGGATCTCAAACGTTGCACTATTCGAAACACGGCGGAAATGCAAATCAGATTCTGTTTGTACCAAAATATGATTTGCCTTCAAAGATCATAAACATGAGTATAATTTAAGTGCATGATTATTTGCCATGTTACACGCTACGCTCTCTCTTTTTTAATGCTCTTGCAGTTGTAGTTTTGCGTCCTCTATAAATTTGAAAACGTTCCCAGTTTTTTTTTTTTTTTATAATATAATTTTAAAGAAAATTAATCCTTCAGTCATAGTGATCTGAATTAATTTGGCTGTTGTCTTTGAATGTTTGGATTTATTCATGTGCAATATGTGCTGTTTTCTGCCTGCTATTGTTTGAAAACAGTATGTGAACAGAACGCATTATGCAACGAGATTTTGCATGTTTGTTTCAGTGAGTGGCATCTGATGGAAGCTTGTTCTGACACGGGATAAAAAAATGCGACTTTATCTCACAATTCTGACTTTTTTTCTAGCAGTTCTGAGAAAAAACATCCAAATTGTAAGATATGAAAAAATTGCAATTACCTTTATTTTTATTCCATAAATCAGAATCGCGATATGTAAACTTGCAATTATGAGTTTATAACTTAAAATTGCAAGATAAAAACAAACAGTTGTGAGATATAATTAAGAAAAAGATATCATTCATAATTCTGAGGGGAAAAAAGTCAAAATTGCTAATTAAAAAAGTTGAATTATGAGATATAAAGTCAAAATTGCAAGATAAAAATGTTAAATTGCATTAACTCTGAGAAAAAAAAGTTGAGGTCAAAATTGCGAAATAATTGGATTGCAGGATATAATTTGTAATTCTGAGATAAAAGCATTTAATAAGCATTTAGATATAAAGTCTGAATTGCAAGATGAAAATTTAAAATTGCATGAAATAATTTTTAATTCTAAGAAAAAAGTCAGAATTTTGAGAGGTCAAAATTGCAAGATATAAAGTCAAAATTGTCAAAAGTCAAAAAATCAAAAGTGCAAGATGAAAATTTAAAATCGCAAGATATAAAATCTTGTGAGCTGTAAACTTGCAATTATGAGTTTATAACTTGG